ACACTTGAACTTTTTCTTTTTTTTATGCGCCAATCCAAACCTTCCAAATAAAGCACACCACGTCACCTTTTCCTCTTTCTTTCTTCTTCCCAAGTATTTCTTTCACTTTTTTTTCCGGATCAGCCACGTGCAAAGGACGATCTGCTCTCTCTCCAAAGCGTACTCGACTCCCTCCTTCCTTGTTTTTTATTTCTCTTTTTCAACTACGATCTCAACTTCCAAATATGCATGCACAACCGATCAGGATTTTTTTATTCTTATTCTCTCTTCAAATCCCAACATGGCCAACTAGTCTTTCCAAACAAACAACGTGGTGCTGATTTTATGGAACAGATGTACTAGTACGGATCTATACCTTTTATTTCCTCTGTGATCACAACTTGCCCACAATTTCTGTCCACCAAAACTGCCAGGTACAAAAACCAAACAGCACTAATATCTTTTTATAGATGTTCTATGCGACTCAAAGCAAAACAAGCCAGAATCTTTCCCAACCAAACCACTGGGACTTCTTCTTTCTTTTTCACAAATTTCTTTGTTTATCTCTCTCCAAGATGGATCAGGCCGCAATGAATGGTGTAGAGATGATTGCAAAACACATCAAAAAGATAGTGACTTGTGACAACAATGGATGAATGGTGGTGAGGGCGACGAACAAAATAAGTGGCAGTGGAATATGACAATGAAGTGGATGATGGTGTATACGGATGTGGCGTGAACAAAACGTGACTAGAACTCGAAACTCTAAAAGACTAGACACTAAAAACTAGCAACTCGACACACGATGCAACCGAAAATTCACTAATGCAAAAACTAAGTGAAAATAGCGAAAAGGCTCAGACTGTCTGGGACACGGATGAACTAATCTAAATTTTTTTGGCTTTTTGTGGACTGTAGGTATGAATGACAGATGCGATCTAAACTATGAAAAACTGTAAAATCTCACCGAGCAACCTGAAAACTGATACCACTTGATAGAGGCGAGGGTCCCGATCTTTTGATGAGATGATAACTATCGATTTGGTGGAGACGACTTTGACGATGTGACTACAAACATGCACGACGTTGCGCCTTGGCAATCACTAAACCAACTCCGGGAGGTTATTGACCACGCTGGAGCACGATCAACCTGACCACGAAGGTCTATTCCTGCAAGCAATCAAAGAACAAGCAAGAATATGATAAAGCAATCTGAATATTGCGAGTATGGATGAAGTATTGATAAAAGTGGGGTTTCATAAGCGGTCTTGGTCTGGTCGTTGGACACAAACGAAGTACACAAAGTTGCAGCGATGGCTAACTTTTAACTAAATAAAACCCAAGTCTAAACGATGCCTTAAGGGCTATATTTATAGGGAAAAGAGAGGGGATTTTGTCCACCCTTGGCAAGGTGGGACTAAAACACCTCCTAAGTCGTTTTCCCTACAATATGGACTCTAAAAATAGATTACATGGGCCTGGCCCAAAATAAGGTGGCGCAACACCAATAATAAGCTATGGACGAAATTTATGAAAGGCCATCTTGTATATTTCGTTCACCATCTTGTATGTCATCGTGGTGGCTTCAAAGTCCAGAAATCTCCACTTGAACCTCCGTTCTTGTTCTGTTCGCACGCACCTTCATCTCCGTGCTTGACCATGCTCCAATGTTCAACCTTCTTGTCCATGCTAGACACTTCAATTGCAAGCAGCAGAAATGTATCTAAGTTAGGCAGCATCATATTCTCATGAACATTAGAAACATTACCAAGAAACGAAAGTGCCTGATAATTTAATTGGCGTATCTGAGCTCTAGCAACTGTTCCAAGAGGTAAAACAGTAGGGGATATGGGTGTAACTGTGGTAGCCATGTCCTCATCATTGTTGCTCTTGATGCAAAGCACGTTGTGCACCAAAGAGGTGGCTCTTTGTGACATAGGAGTTCATGTCGTCGTCTTGCCCGATGAAGAGTGGGTTGGTAGAAGTACTTGGCCTATCCATCATTACAAGAGAAATATGTGAGTGGGGGAAAGAGAAGAACGTATACCAAATGTACCTTGACCGAAGTTGAAGGTGGATCAATGATCACTCCAATGTGGAACAAGGAAATAGCACAATTGGTACTACTCTTGTCGGTTTCTCACACCTACACAAGTAAAAGCTTATGGTGGAGCTTGGTTAGGATGGTGGCACAAAATTTGATGCAATTTTTAGTGAGCTTCAATAATGTTGGAAAAGATTTGCAAGTTTGCAATGCAACAAGTGGACCAAGCAATATAAGGTACACGGAAACACACACGCAAGGAGATATTTGGGGCCGTGCAACCAATGATGAGCCAAAATGTGGAATCCACGAAAATGCTCTTGTTGCACAACACTAGAGAGACACTAGCACAATTGCACAATAGGCGGATACGAAGACTTGTGCACAACCTACTAAGCAAAAATGCAACGACTTCTATCCCAAGTATGCTCTATGTATGGTGTTTCGATGATAGATCCAAGATGATCTAGTATGACAATCTTAATGTTGTATGATGCTATGGTTCTTGCTTAAAAGCTCTTTGCTTATCTTTCCCTTTTGCTTAAAAGCTTGTTTGGCTCTTTGTTGTTTGAGCTCTTTTCTCATGCAATGCTTCACGTACCAAGATAGCAATGGTGTATGCGATGAAAACCTTGTGACACAAGAGATGATACCAAGATATGCACCAATGATGTATGTATGCTATGGGAAGTATGATCACTAATGTGCACAAGTCACGTTGCCGACAATACTCAAAGGCTAGTCTCGATGGGTAAGCGACGCAAAGGAGTAAGTCTATGATGGCTATCAATGTAATGACAAGAATGATGTATCCAATACCGAGATGATGTTACCGCTCTCGCTTACAATATGGTGTCAAAATGGTGTAGTGGTTGTTGTCAATGACGTGTCTGTGGCGAAGATGAGCGGCGGTGATGTTGATGTCGAACCGTACCTAAATAGCCGAAACACAATAGGACACGGAACCGCAACTCAAAGTCTCAAAGCACAAAGTTGCAAAATGAGTCGGAGTGCGAAACGAATAATAAATGGTGGTGCTATGGGGAAGTGGTGATAGTGTAGAGGTGGTGGGAGTGCGTATGCGGAGGTGTGGCAGTGGTGGAGACCAAACTGAAAAAAATTCAGGTTCGCCAGGGAACGCCGGACGTCCGGGGGTTTACGGTCGTCCGGTCGTCAGACGTCCAGAGGCGGTCGGACGTCCGGTGCCTGGGCGAAATTCGGGCACGGGAAGAACAGCTAGGGTTCGTGATTGGGAGGACGAAATTCGTCGAATCCGGGTGATTTCGTGGATGTAAAAGATGGAGACGAAGGGGAAAAGCTAGATCCACTCAAGGCAAAGAAAATCCATGGATCAAATCCAACAAAATTTCATCACACCAACAAATCACAAAAAAATTGGGGCTATTTTTGTGAGGAATTTTCGAAATTGGGGAAGAACACAACAAAATTAGGCTAGAAAACGAAGAGGGGAGGCTCTGAAATCGTGATCAACCTGGCTCTGATACCAAGATGATGTAGGGTAGGAACCCTAGGGGGCGATCTTTCATGAAAGGAGTGGATCCCGCGATGAACACAAAGAACGCGACGGGGAACACGAGGGGAAACACGAGAGAATCACTAAACCAACAAGAAATAGTCACACATATGCTAGATCCTCGAGTACATAAGCGATCACACGATCCACGGTCAACTAATGACGATACAAGTAGCACGATCTTCTCCGTGAGGAGGTCTTGAGGTTCTTCCCGTGAAGGGGTCTTGAATCCGCTCGGGGGATCTTCTCCGAGGAGGCGCTATCTCCGAGGAGAAGGTAACCAAGTGGATGAGAAAAGCTCTCACACAAAATATGAGCTAATCCTTTGCTACCCCTAGAAAAGAGGAGGAGAAGGTCTATATATAGTCTTAGAGGTCGAAGGGGTACATGGTCTGCGGCCCAACACGCAAAAAACACAGAGGCATCGGACGTCCGGGAGTTACCGGTTGTCCGGAGGCTCGTGAGGGTCCGGACGTCCGGTGCTCATCGGACGTCCGTAGATTCGGCTCGGGTGGGCTTCGGTCGGACATCCAGTCGGGGTCGGACGTCTGGGGCGTCGGTCGTCTGGAGGGCTTCGGAAAGCCGTAGATTCTGCTCGGGTGTGGGTGTGCCGGTCGTCCGGAGAGGGCCGGTCGCCCAGTGCCTGGAGGTCGTCGGACGTCCGTAGCTCGCCGGTCGTCCGGAGCCTGGGAGTTTCGAGCAGTCCTTCTTCTTGTCCATTGAGCTTGGCATCCTCACCGTCTTGTCCGTTGAGTGTAGTTGATCCGTGGCTTTCCTCCAAGCACCTGATCACACATAGGGTTTCCGCTTGAGGTAGTAGCCAAGTCTCATGCATAGAAAGTGGTAGTTCGGAGAGGAGTGAGTCCACCTGATCTTCGATAGCCTTCACTTGGGCTCTTGTCATTGGTCCAAGTGGTGTCGTTGGAGGTGTAGGTGCATCCATGGGGATGATCATGGGATGCTCCGCATCAACGCGCCTCCCCTCCTCCCACCCACATTGCTGCTGCCGCCACCCGGCAATGCTGCGGTAGGCGTAGGGGTCATCGACGCGCGGGCCGTCGGCCTGCGGGGGCTTGCCCTTTGTGTCGACCAGCGTCGGTGAGGGCTTGCAAGAGTCCATGCCGGCACGATCAACCACATCCTCGGCATAATGGAAGCTGTTATTAAGCTGCGTAATATCCAACACAAGGGGGTTGCAGACTTGATGATAGAGTAAGAATGCTTCTCATGTACACTCTTATTTATGCATCTGCTGTTGATTTTAGTGTTGTATGAACGTGGTCCTTAAATTTATGTATATGTTCTCACTTGGTGAATTTATTGTTCTATCCTTCCGTTCAGCACAGATAAACTGAGTGAGTCATGAACAACCATCATTTATAGAATTGGATGTATAAATTCCTGTAGTGTTTCTGATTCTGAGGATTACTTTATTTTCTGGACATGGGTTCAGTAATGAGGAAGCCAAACACCATGCACCGCTTTCCTCTTTTATGTTGTTTCTTTAATCATTTTTCAAAATGTACTTGCTTTCATGGAGTACGAAGGCTAGGCTCTGCTGCTGCTGATATATCCCATGTTGGTCTACGCATTACAGAGGCTTACTGGGAATATCGGCTTAAGCCGTGTGACATGGTTGCTGGCATTCTGGTACTCCTTCTTACATTGTGGAATCAGATTTGCTAAATAATCATCAGATTGGTAGAAAGTGGGACTGGCTTATTTGCTTATTTTCAAACCTTGCCATATTTTTATTCATATAATCTTTCCTCATGTTTATGATGGTTCTTATATTTCTGTATTCTCATAATTTGGGTTGAAAATAACAGAGTTAATCTTATCTTAAGGATATCATTGAGCAATTTTGAACTAATCTTTGAAACAAATTGATTTCATTTTCTGTAATCAAATCTAGAATTCGCATAGTAAAAGGTACTCCCTCCTTCCCAAAATATAAGGCGCACGTTGACTTTTTTGGTCTCGTCGCATAACTTTGACTATTACTTTCACTTATTGTATGTCTACAAAATTTTTATAAAAACATATGGGATAATTTTGGGAAGGAGGGAGTATCAAAGTGATGTGTATATTGATATTCTGAAATATTTTTATCTATCAGTCTTTATTTCAATTAGATAAATTTCTGCTCATCGTTCATGAGTAGTATGGCTTCTTATTTACTTCTCTAAGCAACTCTTTGCTCTGTGGAGTTTGCTAGTATATAATTATTTGACGAATTTAGTCATTTTTCAACAGATAGTTGAAGAAGCTGGTGTGGTAGTGACATGCATGGATGGTGGAGAGTTTACAGTCTGACCATTCTGTTTTTGTTTCCAATGGAGCTGTTCACGGTCAGGTCAGTTTTGTAGAAAGTAGCTTCTTTCCTGATTTTCTAAAAATCCCCTCCTCCAACGGTACTACAGTACTAATATCTCAAGCATTGGCAGTCATGCCCTTAAAAGGTCAGCCTTACATTTCTGGCTATTTCACAGTTAGGCCGGTGGCATGGTGGATGGGCTGTCTTGCGAGTTGACCGGAGAGCTTCTGAGATGGCTAAGGTAATTCTTTGCTTCCTTGTTTGCCTCTAGGTTTGTGATGTGCAGGTGCTCATCCAAGGCTTTGTTTTATAGGGATCTGTTTAGGGTTTGCTGGTTGATCCATCTTGGTTGGGGCCTGCTCTTGCTCTGGTTGATCCATCCTTGTTGGGGTCTGCTCTTGCTCTTGGCTGGTGGGTAGTGTCGTTGCTGGTGCTCGAAGTTGTCTTGTTGTTTCCTTGCAGGTGATTCTTTCCTCTCGCTTGGCCTCCTCTGTGTCTTTCTAGGTTTTTTTTTGCATGGTGTCTTTCTAGGTTGTTGAGTCCATATATAATGCAAGGTCGTATGTGTATTTCAAGTCTATATGGCCTGTTTGGGACTGCCCCGCTTCACAAAAATTGGTTTCGCTCCACTAAATTCACTTTGGAGCCTGTTTGGGACTACTCCACTCCAGGAAAATCAGCTTCACTCCACCGACTTCACTTTAGAGCAGTTCCACTGAGAAGTTGCAGCTCCACTTTTTGATTGGTTGAGGGGGAAGAAACGAAGGGGTATTCACTTAGTGGTGGCAGTGATGGGTAATTTCCACCTAACTCCAGCTTCTAGAGTTTTTTGGAGCACCCCCTGAAGAGCTTCATAAAAAACTGGGAGTTGTACCCCAGATTCTAGTTTTTTGCGAAGCGGCATATCGTGGAGCTACCCTGTTTGGCTTGTGTTTTCTGGAGCGGAGCTGAATTTTAAGGAGTAGAGCAGTCCCAAACATGCTAGTATATTGCAAGGGAATATGTGCAAGGGTCTACAACCGTATGTGTATTTCAAGTCCATCTATATTGCAAGGGAATATGTATTTCAAATCGTTATATATTGCAAGAGTCTGCAAACTGCATTATGGGGTCTAACATTTGTGCTTGGTTTGTGATTTTTTGGTGTGGAGTTTGCTTATTTTGGGTTCTTCATTGTGTTGGCAGAATGTTTGTCGCGAGTAGTTCCTATTGCACATGTTAGATGTTGTTGCTTCATGGTGTTGTTTGCCATTTCATTCGTACTTAGGAGAGGGTTATGGATGATGGGGTCATAATTGGAGGGGTGGAGTATGAGGTTGATGTTCCTGGAAGTGATGTCTATGTTCCCCTGTGTGCTTCTTCTCGGGACCCCGCCATCGACCTCGGACCACACCACCGCCGCCGTGGATGCTATCAAGGTCTCCTTCCCCACCTCCTATTCTTCTTCTTCTTCTTCTTCTTCTTCTTCTTCTTCTTCTCCTTCTGTATCTCTCTCATTCTCTGATGTGTTTTGATTTGGTAGGCTTGGTTCCCTCCCTGATCATGATGCGTGTAGACGCACGCACAAAGTTAGGTCTTGGGATCTGTTTCAGGAATAATTGCTGCTGCTAGCCTTGTTTATTGCCACCAATAAGTATGCTTACTGCCTCTCAGGTTTCGATTTTTCTTGTAACCTTTAGGTTATTTGCTAGGCATATCATCTAATCTAATTTACTTACAGTCAAATGCATCCAGTCAATCAGATCAATAAAAGAATAGATGGTATTAGAGGCTGTCAGAGATTTCTCCCACTAAGAAGGATCAACAAGTTATTAGTTACTAGGAACCTGGATGCCTTGCAAGATAGATTTATCCATGATGCATGCCATATCTATCCTCTCTTCATCATATACTTAATGTACTAGATTAAATAAATGTGGGGTTCAAGCACACAACTAAACGGTACTGTAGCTTTGAACAAAGCGATGGATGCATAGTTTTGTGTAGCTCTGGACAAAGCCCAGACATTTTTGTTGCATTCCATGCTTTATATTGATCAAAATGGTTGTGACATGGATCATTTCAGTCATCATGTGTGGTTGCTAGGCTTGGTTCTCTGATGCGCAGAGGTGCTGCGCGATGGAGTGTGCACGGGGGATTCTTCTTCCACTCTGATGCCTCCCGCCCTGCCCCTCCGGCGACACCAATTCGAGGTATTTGGATCCTTACTGATAGAGGCAAAGGTGTCCCGATGTTTCGATGAGATTGATATCGTTTTCAGTGGGAGTCGACTTTGACGATCCGACTATGAACGTGCGAAGACGTCGCGCCTTAGCAATCGCTAAAACAACTTCCGATGGTTATTGACCATGCCGGAGCACGATCAACCTAACCACGAGGGTCTATTTCCTGCGAGCAAACGAAGAACAAGCAAGAAACTGAGATTGTAGTCTGGATATTGCGAATAAAAGAGGAAAGCTTTATTAATGAAGGTGGGGTTCTGTGACGTCTTGGTCTGGTCGTTGGACACAAACGAAGTACGCGTAGTTGCAGCTATGGTGAACTTTTAATCTAAACAAAACCCAAAGTCTAAACTACGTCCTAAGGGTTGTATATATGGAGGAAGAGGGGGGAATTTCGTGGCACTTGGAGGAGGGGTCCGAAACCAACCCTAACTCTTGTTTCCCCACACATACGGACTCTAAAAACAGCCTATACTTAAGTATTTCGAAAATACATGGGCCTGGCCCAATAATAAAGTGACGCAACACCTAGAATAGCCTCTGGACGAAATTTATGAAGTGGCATCTTGTATATTTCATCCAAGGCTTCATGCACTCCTTATGGTGGCTTCAAAGTCCTGAAATCATCACTTGTAACTCCGTTCTTGATCCCCTTGCGCATGCCATCACCTCCATGCTTGAAGTTGCTCCAAGGTTCGTCTTTCTTGTCCAAGCTAGGCCCTTCATTTGTAAGCAAAACAAATGTATCCAATTTAGGCAACATCATATTCTCATGAACATTAGAATCGTTACCAAAAACGAAAGTACCTGATAATTCAATTGGCGTGCGAGAGCTCTATTAATTGGTCCAGTATGTATAGCAGCAGGGGTTGTGGGTGTAACAATGGTATTGATGTCCTCATCAGTACCTACATAAAAGAGACACAAACAAAAGAAATTGTGTGTGTGGTAAATGTACACATCATCCATCATGATGTGTATGTGCACGTGAAAGTTAGCACAAGATAAGCGTTGCTCAAAGAAATTTAATGCATGGTATAAGAACATGTCATCCATCATGAAAGAATAGTTATTGTGTATAACACAATGGGGATGCAAATTGAGCATACAAATATATGGCACATTAATATCATGTTTATTCATGGGGAGCATATTGTGCACATAAGTATGAGGATCATGCAATGGATGGGAGTGATCAAAATCTCCTAAAATGTATGAGGAAACTATGGGGGTCTCCTCATGAGCAATATTGGAAACATCATATGGAGAAAATGGGCAACACCCAAAACAATGCATGCCATCATATCCATGCTTATGGTGGCTTCAAAGTCCTGAGATCATCACTTGTAACTCCGTTCTTGATCCCCTTGCGCATGACATCATCTCCATCCTTGAAGTTGCTCCAAGGTTCATCTTTCTTGTCCAAGCTAGGCCCTTCATTTGTAAGCAAAACAAATGTATCCAATTTAGGCAGCATCATATTCTCATGAACATTAGAATTGTTACCAAGAAACGAAAGTACCTGATAATTCAATTGGCGTGCGCGAGCTCTAGTAATTGGTCCAGCAGGGGCAATGGGTGTAACAATGGTATTGATGTCCTCATCACTTACCTTGCGCCTGCAAGCCCCTTTCCTTACCGACAGTAGCATTCAAATTCATATGCTTCTCTACTTCAAACAAAAGGATCCTTGTTATAGAAAGAAATTGCTCCAATTCATGTTTTTTAGAAGTATATACAATCTTGAACTGATGCAAAAATTGTGTTGTAATTTATACTTACCCAAACGCAAATCAACGTTCTTTAGCACTATATGCCATGTTATAGAAAGAAGGTGCTTAATCTTTTGTGCATTCTTGGTTTCAAGAGCAGGCACATGTTAGGTTGTGTTCCCCAATGCATTATGAAGCATCATGAGCAGGGAACAATACAATGATTTGTTTGATTTCGGTTCATATTATCCATCTAAATATTAAGTGGCTTCTCTTTAGGTGTGCGTGATCATCGGCGATGTAACCTTTGGACATTTTAGGGATTTACTCTCGCATCGACTAAACACGTGGTTCATTGTTGACAGTAGTGCTTGGAGCAGGTATTTCTGTTTGGAAACCACATTACAGCTTATGTGGGCATCGACAAATTTATAA